ATAGCAACCAAATGGAAATATTCAGATTACAATTTAGAATTGAAACTCAATATTTAGAGTTTTTTAAAATCGTGAATCGGAACGGCCGGTTCATGTTTCGAACTGAAAAAAAAAAGTACATTTATTTTTGAATTTAGACTATTTTAAAAATAAAAAATAAAATTTTAAAATAAAGTTTGAATCAACAGTTCAAACTGGATGTGGAACCGTGAACCGGCGGTTCAAAGTCAAAACCAAATCGCGGTCATATATACTTGTATGTGAGAATAAGAATAAATGTAAAAAAAAAGAACGTACACTATTTGTAAGTATTATAATTCTAATTTTAAACTAATGCTAGTAGTTGTTCCAATTCGAACCGTCGCTTCACGGTTCAGGATCTAATTTTTTCAATTCATGATTTTAATAAACTGAAATCCAAATATTGTGTTCTGGATCTGAATCATAACCTGAAACTTTCAATTCGATTGCTATAGTGTCCTGTTCAGTTCGAATCGAACCTTGGTCATCCCTACGCATAAGTAATAATTTGTTGGAGAAGAAAGATAAATAACATGTTTACTTTTAAGGATAGAGATGTTAATTTAATATATCATAGGAGAAAACCACCACTTTTAGAATAATTGAAGGGGTTAATATACTTACATGAATAATTCAGAAAAAAAAAATGTTATAAACATATAATTCAGGGAGAAAAAGTACTATTTTAGCATCTTATAAAAATGGATGTACTTTTGATATTGTGGGACCTTTGGAATAATGGATTTCACATTGTGTGGACCTTTTGATATTTTGATATGGTGAGTTATTCTAAAGTGATGTATTTTATTTTATTTTTTTATTTGCATGTTTGATGCGTGTATGCCGTATGGAGGCAATTTATATCATGGATTAGAGTTCACATAGAATTATGAATCATGGATTGAAACGAGATACATAATTTATACTCGTAAGGTGCAAAATTTCATAACATAACAAAAAAATCATAGCCAAGTCATATAATATAGCATTATCGATCCAACTGTTGGATTGAGAAGACGAGATACAAAATTGATACTCGTAAGTTACAGAATTTCGTAACACAAGACACAAAACATCATAACACAAGATACATACATATGTTATATATTTACTTATTTTCCAAATCTGATTTAAATATATAATTTGTGTTCGTAGGCACAAAATTTCATAATACAAGACACAATTACTAATTTTCAGGTACATGATTCATATTCATAAGGTACAAAATTTCATAACGCAAGACACAAAAAGTCATAACACAAAACACAAACACATGACCCAAGATTCATAGTGCAGTGTGAACCCCGATCTATGGCATATCGATTGACGTATGGATGCGTAGGAAATTGACAAAAATAAAATAAAATTGTCTTAAACAGTTTTCAAGTGTAAGACTATTTTGGTTGCTTAATTATTAACGTGAATGTTTTTGAGCAGTTGAGCATAGCTAACAGGGAATCTCAATCTATATTTAGAGTCTGTTTGGCAGAGCTTATACCTTATTTTAAACTACTAATAAACTATAAATTCTTTTTGATAATGTTTTCAAAATAAGCTCGTAGCTTAAAATAAGAGCTTATTTGGTCTAAGATAATAGATCGAATGCTGATGATCAAACACCAACCGGGGATAGAGCTGGACTTGGCTATAACCTAGCTCTCAACCACATGTCCTTCTGACTAAACTATTGGGCCCTTTAACTAGTGGAGAATTAAAGTCTGTATTTGTTCAAGGTCAGACCCTGCAACCCGAGCCCATGAAAGTTGTTGAGAAGGGAAAGGAACCACAACTAACGAGCCAACCGAAAGGAAAGGTTGTACAACGAGTTGTGGAACCTTTGAAAAGTAATTCCTCGCTAGGTAACCCGAGGAGTGTTCAATACACGAATCGGCATAGACCCAGTGGTGATAGGCTGAGCCTTCATCCCACGAATGGTCAATCAAGAAGGAATAACCAACCGAAGGGTAAACCCAACAACATATTGAGGCGAAACCATTCATAGAGACGACGTAATGGTCACTCTAAGAATAAGCTAAGACATTACCCGAATGGTCAATTAAATAACCGGTATGCCAAACCTCAAAGACCATCTAGAAGGTCAATGAGAAGTGCCGGAAGACTTTTTCCTTCCGATGAAGATTGGCTTATGATCCATGAACTTATGCCGAAGCGCAATTCTAGAGGTATCATCGACATAAGCTAGCATTATATTCTAGGGTGTATTACAACTTGCCAAGACCCCAATTTCAAAAACAGTATACACCGAAAAGGCCCCGAACCTTTCAAAGCATCCCCTATGATTATCGTGTCTTTAATGGCTATAGAGGAACGAGGATGGGCGTAACGAGCTCTAGGTTCATGTGGATGCCTAAGTTCATCGTTAACCCAGAAGGACCCAAGAAGGTACGGGTACTTAAGACAAACTAATCTTTGATTTCAAGTGAGCAGGACCATTTGGTATGCAGATGGTGGTTACTCGAGGCATATGACTGGAGATAAATCAAATTTGAGCAACTTCCATGAGGTCAATGGTCCAAAGGTGATTTTTGGTGGCGAATAAAGTGGACAAACCAAAGGTGTTGGTGATATTTAGAGGAATGGACTGACGATTCGTGATGTATCATTCGTAGAAGGACTAAAGTTAAATTTGCGCTCAGTACAAGTTAGTTCTGCGACAAAGATTATAAAGTCAAATTCTCCAAGGATAAATGCAACATAATCAGTGAAAACGATTCTTTCAGCAATGAGGCGAAAGAATATGTACGTGGTAGCACGGCCAAGCCGAATGTGTGACTAGTAGCTAAAGGTAATAATGACTTGAGTTGTGAATGACACAACAAACTTAACCATTTCAACTTCAAGGCCATTAACAAGCTAGCTAGACGAGAATTTGTAGAGGGACTACAAAATATGACTTTTAACATGGATAAGATTTGTGAAACCTGTCAAAAGGGCTAACAAATCAAGTCCTTGTTTAAGTCCAAATCTGTAACACCCCGTGTTACGCTCTTTAAACTCGGATTAATTATTTAATTAATTCCGTTAAAGAATAGCTGGAAAGGATTTAATTTAGTCAGAGTCTGTGATACCCCGGAAAATTCAATCCTTAAATAGAACTAATTATGAAATTAATTCTAAGCCTTCTCATGAATTTCCCCTTCCAATTCTTCAATTAAAAGTCGAAAGACCTAGATTGACCAATTCCTTGGTCAATTGGTTTAGTCAATAAAAAGGACTTTGAGCTTTATAAGTTGTACATGGCCTTTTTGTCTTCCTAGCCTTTTAGTAAGAGCATGCTTGTCTTTTCACACTTGCTTGGCATTCAAGCCTTTCCCTAGCAAGATCACATTTCATTTCCCTCATTTGGCAAGACACTCTAAACTCTTCATCCTCTCACTAGAATAGTAGCTTTCTTCCCAAACTAAGAAAAGACCACCTTCTTCCTTGTAAGGGATCTCTCCAAGATTTCACCTTTCCAACATTAAAGCACTAGGAAGGGTAAGATCTTAGCTTAGTTGGTGTTTTTGAATAGTTTTGCATAGTCTTTATCTAAGTTGTGGTTCTTCTTTGTGTGGTTTTGGTTTTGTTGAGAAGATTTGGGTGAGGAGGAACCTCAAGAAGGAGTCTAGGAGTCTAAGGAAGAGATTTGTGGTCTACAAAGGTAACCCATACTTTACAAAAACTATTTTACACTTGTTAAGATGATTTCTTGACATTCTATGATTGTTCTTGATGTTGTGAGTGATTTGATGCACAATCTTGTGTTTATGCATGTTAGAGCTTGTATCTATGATTCTTTAATGCTATCGCTGTTTGGACGCTAGCACTAACAAGGTTTTTATCTGTCGCCACGTGCGATTCGATGAGACTGTGTTTCCCTTTGTTTCTCTTGTTGCCTCGTTCGCAGGTTGCTAGACCATGTTCCGAACCTTGGGCTACTGCACCGATTGTGACGTACCGAGGTGGTGGTGTCTCGGCCACGGATTTTGATGACGCTCGACAGTCTGATGAGCCCGTCTCGGCTCCTGGCGATGGTGACGATAATGGTCCCGAGCAGTCCGCATCGAGTGAGCGGACTGTCTCGGAGCAGCAGGTTGAGCAGCGCAGCAGGCCGCGCGGACGTCCTTGGCGAGTCACTCCTCCTCCTCGGTCGCATGTTATGAACACTCGTAGCTCGGGTCCGCATCAACATGTCGCCTTAACCACTATTTCTACCATAGTGCCTGAGCTCACCTGTTACACTCAGGCGGTCAAATTTCCTGAGTGGCATGATGCGATGGACGCAGATTTCAATGCCTTGGTCCATAATCATATGTGGCGTCTTGTTCCGTTTCAACCAGGTATGAATGTTGTTGGTTGCAAGTGGGTTTTTAGAACCAAACGGAAGGTCGATGGTTCAATAGAACGTCATAAAGCTAGGTTGGTGGCCAAGGGTTTTAATCAGGTTGCTGGAGAAGACTTTTTTTAGACCTTTAGTCCTGTGGTTAAGTCCACTACGGTACGCATTCTCTTATCTTTAGCCGTATCGCGTGGGTGGACTATTCACCAGTTGGATATTCAGAACGCCTTTTTAAAGGGCGAGCTAGCTGAGACTGTTTATATGCGACAGCCGTGTGGTTATGAGGACAAGTCATTAACTGATCACGTGTGATTGCTTAAAAAAATCTCTATACAGGCTCAAACAGGCTCCTCGTGCTTGTTCACAATATTGCATGATTTTCTTGTCTCTGTGGGCTTCTCGCCTTCAAAGACAGATGTGTCTCTTTTTATCTATTATCGTAACAATATTTGTCTTTATTTCTTGGTGTATGTTGATGACATTTTGATTATAGGTTCTGACTCACACCGTGTTATTGCTCTAGCTTATTGATAAATTAGCACTTGAGTTTAAGGTTCGTGATATGGGTGTGCCTTCTTTCTTTTTGGGTATTGAAATTGTCCCGTTATCTGGCAGTATGCTTTTATCATAAGAATGGTACATGAAGGATATTCTCAAACGTGTTGGCATGGTGGACTGCAAACCAGTAGTCACGCCCGTCTCTTCGGCGAAAATCACTTACGAAGTCGTTGTTTCCTATGCCGATCCTACACAGTACAGGAGTCTTGCAGGTGCTCTTCAGTATCTTACGGTAACTCGCCCTGATTTATCTTATGCTGTTAATCTCTTGTGTCAACACATGCATGCGCCCACTGCTACGGACTGGGCCTCTTTGAAAAGAGTCCTGCGGTATGTCAAGGGCACCCTGAATCTTGGTCTGCGGATTTCTCGGTCTACATCTATGGATATTCACGCCTATTCTGACTCAGATTGGGCTGGCGATCCGAATGATCGCAAGTCTACTAGTGGCTTTGCTGTGCTCTTGGGCAATAATCTTATATCTTGGGTATGTCGGAAGCAACAGACTATGACACGTTCTTCAACTGAAGCAGAAAACAAGGGACTAGCTGATGTATCTGCAGAGGTTACATGGCTTGTTTCCCTGTTAAATGAAATCGGCATCCCTCCTGCGTCTCCTCCTCGACTATGGTGTGATAATTTGGGAGCTACTTACTTATGTGCCAATCCAATGTTTCATGCCCGCACGAAGCACATTGAGATTGACTACCATTTTGTTTGCGATAAAGTAGCTAAAAAAGAGTTAGAAGTGCACTTTATTTCAACCAAGGATCAACTAGCGGATATCTTTACAAAGTCTCTTTCGTCTCTTCATTTTAATTCTCTCCGTGACAAGCTCAATGTTTTGGCTAGCCAACCTTGTGCTTGAGGGGGAGTATTAGGACTATATTATTCGTGTTAAACTAGGACTCTATCTAGTATCTATATATTCGCTCTCTGTACTCTCGACACCATTACTGAATACAACACTTTTACATACACTCTCATGAATATTATAAATTATCAAACTATTACTATATAAATTACATGAATATTATTATAAATTATCAAACTATTACTATATAAAATCTAATAACTATTATCCTTATTAAGCTAATAATCACATGAATATTAGTATAATTACAATTAAACATGGTATAAAAGTATAATTACACAATATTAGTATAATTACCTAATAATTATTATGGTAATTAAGAAATTAATTACACATATATTAGTATAATTGATTAATAATTATTATGTTAATTAAACTAATAATTACACGGATATTAGTGTAATTACAATTAAACATGGATTGTTGGATTTTTATAATAATTACAATTAATTATTCAGGTATGGTGGACGAGGAAAAAACTAAATGTGATATGGTGAAAATGAAGATGTACTTAATGTATAAAAGTATAATTGCACATATCTACAAATCTAATAAGAGCCAATAATGTTAGGCCCTTAACTGGAATAAAAAAAGATGTCGGTAGTAGTTATTTCTTAAAATGAATGGTTCATATTATTTTAATTTCAGTATCTTTTAATGATTTTCCTTATTTACCCCTCTATTATATTCTTTTCTTCCCTTAAATAACCATAAATTCCGTTAGTATAAACTTTCATAACGGAATATTCCGTTAACTATTTATTATTCTTAACATACTAATTAATTTATATAAGAAAGGTCTTAGGTTCGAACATCATCCCAATTATAGTTGGCATAATTGTTAAACATATATTATGAATATGTTAAAATGTATTAAATATATATATATATATATATATATATATATATATATATATATATATATATATATATATATATATATATATATATATATATATATATATATATATATAATATAAAATTTAAACATAAACTTTGGTCAAATAATTACTACGACTAAATACATAGCATTCAAAGTTGAGCACCAAAGATTATAAATCAGGAACTACTTTTAAATCATTTGATTTTCTTGAATTTTTTATTTTTTTATTTTTTAAAAAAACCAAATTTATGTTAAGTTTTTTTTTTTTTTTTTTTAGATGTTTAATTAATCTTCTTTTGATTATTTAGAACAAAACTTAATATTTCAATTATGTTTTTGCATTATTAGAATGATTTAGGTCATTATGGTATTAATTTTTTTTGTATTTTTTTATAATGGTACAATTGTACATTACTTTACAAATATTATACTATTATTTTTATCAGACAAAATTGTTCTTACATCATTGTCAAACCTACGCGGCCTAACTACAAAGTTGTTGATCATAAATACGATTACACGTGAACTCTAAAACGGTAGGATCATTTTCCAAATAATTGACAATGTTAACATCATACTAGCTCCAATTGAACAAGTTTACACATCAAAATTTTATCAATGTATGAAAACTTTTAAAGAAATTTGTAAGTTAATTTTTACTATGTCATTATATTAATATCTATTATAACCATGTATTTTGAATTATTTATTATCATCCTCTATTGACAGCAATTGTAGCAATTGTCATGGACAAACTCTCAAAACAATTTGTCTCAACAAGGAATGGAAATTAAAAAAAAAATTATTGATTTCATTATTGTTGATGAAAAGTATGTACGACACTTTATTACTCTAATTAAATTAAATAAATTAGTAGCTACAACAAAAAATAATACATATGCATTTAATTAATTTAGAATTAGATGTCTATAATGCTTTATTTTAAAAAAATTATTCATTATAAAACAATTTAAAAGAAGAAATTAGTTATATTATCTTTATTTTCTACAATTCAAAGATTCCTTACCTTCAAATTTATTAATTTATTATATTCACTACATTGTTCATTGTTTTCTTTTTACATTATCTTGTAATTAAATATCAAAGTTATAATACAAAACATGTTATATATATTTATTTACCAAGTATTTTATACAAGTATAATAAATATTAATATTTTGTTCAATACTTTCACATGATAACCTACTACACACATCTCACAACACATGAAACATGTAGGGAAAAACTACCACTACTAAATATCAATAGGTGTCTGTAAGATAAAGAGTTCATATTACAACTAAAATCTTAATCATATACACAGCAAAGGCAAATCTAAAGCTTCCTACACCATAATCTCATTGCAGGATGAGTCCCTCTATGCTGCCACCAGTAACCTAATTGCATATGACACACTACCAATAAAAAAATTAAAAAAAAAAAAAAAAAGAGAAGACATGTACTGAAGATGAAAACAATGACAATGCTACCCAAAAGAAAATTTAGAAGAATTATATTAGAGAAATTTAAACCAAAAGTAGTATTTATTTGGACTATCGCTTTAAGACTAAGTATTTAGACTAGCGTTATTACAAAGTTGCAAACATATATTTATTTTAGTGACAATTATAATCAATCTCTCATATATTATCTTGCATTTATATACTTTAAATTACCGATTTAAATAAACAAATTCAACATTTATTTACCTATGCATGAACATCTCCTATATAATATTGCATTGATATACTATGAAATACTTATTTAAAAATAATTATTAGGCATTATCACATTCGCGCAAAGCGCGTAAACAAACTAGTATTAGTATAATTGTAGACAAACGAGTCATATATTATTCAATTAATTGAGTGATATTTGACACTAATCTTATATAATCAATAAATGTACACGATTGATATTAGATTTTTTATAATTTGATTTTTAATTTTATTATCTAAGTATATAATTAAAAAAAATTATCCGTACATCGCATGGGTATTAGGTAATTATTTGCTAGGATTCAAGTAAAGATAACATCGAAAAACATAATCGATCGTCCAACCAATTTCATCAATTGCATTATATATAATATTTGATGTTATAATTTACATAATTATATTATAATAAAATTATATTCTGTGCAACATACGTGCGAAAATACTAGTTGCCTTGATACAAAGTTTTCAAGTGTAAGACTATTTTGGTTACTTAATTATTAACGTTAAAGTTTTTGAGCGGTTAAGCTTAGCTAGCAGGTGATTGTTGTGTTGATTTGTCGGTTGTGATAAACACACAGAATTGAAGGAAGAAAGTTGGAATTGACAGCTAAAAAAGTACATCTCCGAATTAAAGGACTAGAAAGCATGAAATTAGTTGAAAGAAACTAAAGGATCGGACATGCAGCTTCTTGAAAACTTGAGCAGCTGGGATGGTGGCTTCCTGGTAATACTCTCTCGCTCTAAGACTCGGTAACAGAACTGGAGCGAGAGGACGATGAGGAAACCGGAGCCAGATTCAAATCGGCTCTCTCTGCGCCGAAGAAATCACGGAATGCTGGTATTAGACTTGTAGCTCGGCTCCTCTCGCGGCCTCTCTTCTTCAGGAAGATTCGGCACAGCACCAAATTTGCCTGAGATGAAAGGAAGGTTTCATTTGGGGGAAACTAACTAATTTAACGGAGTAGAATTGAAAAGATGGCGTCAAATTAAACCTGGGGCTGAGGGGCATCGCCCAGGCGATAATCATGCATAATCCAATCAGTTTTGGAATCATTGGAAGGCTTCCCTTCATAAAACACTAGAGTTTTTTTCATTCCAACAACGCCGCCTTGCGCCTCACCGGAAACCGTGATTTTCTTGTCCTTACCGGTGGCTTTCCAATACCCAGACAAGGTAGCTCTGCTGCACCGATTCCCGCTCCCATTCTTCACCTCTCTTGTGCTGAAGAAGTACATCTCTCCATCTAAACCACCTGAATACAATAAACACGTACCCAAATTAAATTATTACTATACGTTTTTGTTTACATCAGAAACCAAACATCGAGTGTATATATAGTACCAGGCAAATCCCAAGGATCAACTTTGCAGACATTATCAATCTCAAGGATGACATCAGCGGGCAAAGGCAAGTTAAGAACTTTGGGGTTTAGGTAATGCAGGATCAGTTCTTCGCCAGTGGGACGGAAGCGAAATCCAGGAAGCAACAGACTCAAATTATCCATCTCAGAAATAGGGAGAGAGACTTGAGAAGGAGTAAGAGAAGAGGTGCTGAGTGAATAGTCTCACCCTCAGCTCTCTATTTATAGAGCTTTAACAGCTTTCAAAAAATGCTTCTCACCCTTAAAACAATTCACGCAATTATTTATAAACTCCATCATGTGCCTTACTAAAACACTATCAACTTTTCAAAACGAGTGTGTGCGTTACTAATTGATTATGCTTGTGCCTTACTAAAAAAGTATATATGCGTTACAAAACGAGTGTGTGCGTTACTAATTGACTACGTGTCTTACTAAAAAACTATGTGCTTTTCAAAACGAGTGTGTGCGTTACTAATTGACTATATGCCTTACTAAAAAACTATGTGCTTTTCAAAACAAGTGTGTGCTTGAAAGTTAGGGATGACAATGGGTCGGGTGTGGGTCGGGGAGAGCTACATCCATCACCCAACCCACCTTATATTTTCTCCACCCACCCCCCACCTCCAACCCGCATCGGATGGACTTTTTCAAAACCCACCCCACCTCCACCGGGTGCGGATGCCCACTACGAGTACCTACCAATTATCATCTTATTATTTTTTCAAAAAATAATATTTTAATTACTTACACATAATAAAATAATAAAATTCATTAGTGATAATAAAATATAAAATAATAGAAATATTTAAATATAATAACTAAATTGTTAATTTTTAAAAATAAACTTAGTAGTTTAGATATAAAAATAGTAAAAAGATACACGAAGTTATATAAACTTTTATAGATAACTACATACTAGTACTTATTTTACTATTATACATACATACATATATATATATATATACATACATATATATATATATATATATATATATATATATATATATATATATATATATATATATATATATATATATATATATATATACACACACACACACACATGGTGGGTCGGGTGGGATTCTAGGCGGGTTTTGTACATAGAACCTGAATCCAACCCGACCCACCGCGGATTTATTTTTTAAAGACCCACCCCGACCCACTGTGACAACCCAAAATTTAATTTTATAAATCCAATTTTAAGAAATTTCAAAATAGTCATTTTCACTCCATTAAAAATTTTTGCGATCAATTGGTGTTTGAATAAATTATTTTGAACACATTTTAAATTAATTCAACACCAAAACTTATTCTAAATCCAAAATCCTAAATTTTCGGATACTTCGCATACCAAGTTTTAAATTAAGAAACCAATCTGAGTGAGACCGGGAGAATTCTGAACCAAGTGTTTGTTTAGAAATCATCTTTGAAAAAATCTATTTTGACCCCAAGTTATTCAAAAATAATCTTTCTAGCCTTGGTTCATGATATAAGGTGAACCTTGACTATTCTTACAAGACAAAGCATTTGATGAGATATTTTAAAGCAAGCAATTACATTTTTACCCCTCAACCCTAGCAACAAAAGAACACAATTCTACCCTAACTCTTGTTCATTTTCTTCATCTCCCTTGGCAGCCATTTTCCCCTCTCACGTGAATCTCTCTCTCTCATTTATCCTCCTTCATCTTTGAAGCTTCATTTTCCAAAAACCTAGGTCCAAAACTTCGTAAGATTGCATCTCTTCCTCTCCATTTTCCTTTGATTAGCTTGTCTTTGAGATAGATTATCTAAGCTAGATGTGTTTTTGGGTATTGTGTTGGTGGTTGCTTGAGAAATGGAGATGGTGAAGATGAAGACCTAGCTTGAGGTTGGAGATGGAGGGATTCTTGAAGTTGAATCTTGAGGTATAACCCATGGATTCCCAAATCTAGTATTTTTCCTTAATTTACATGATTAGTTGTTCAAGTGTGTTTATATATGTATTTTAGGTGTTTAGAATGATGAAATGTAAGCTATTTGTTGTTGATATGCTGTGTAATTTTGTGGGGTTTGAGTATCTGATCTGTGTTGTTTAAGCGAAGAGAAGTAGAGAGTAGCAGAAACCAGCCAGGAGAAGTAGAGAGTAGCAGAAACCAGCCAGGAGAAGTAGAGAGTAGCAGAAACCAGCCAGCCCACGGGGCTTAGTAACGGATATTTGTTGCTGATATGCTGTGTAACGGATATTTGTTGCTGATATGCTGTGTAATTTTGTGGGGTTTGAGTATCCGATCTGTGTTGTTTAAGCGAAGAGAAGTAGAGAGTAGCAGAAACCAGCTTAGTAACGGATCTCGTGGACATCTATTACTAAGGGTCGCCATATATAGCACACTACATTTTATGCTATGTTATACTTTGGAAAATTATTTAAAGTGGGATTTGAACCCCTAACATAATGATTATTAATTAGAATCCCTTCCACTTAAGCTACTTCAACATTTTAGAAATTATCTTGGAGTATATATTATATTATTTGTTCTTGAAGGGTTATTTATATATAAAAGTATTTTTTATAAAAATCATAAATATGTTTGAGAAGGGTTTAAACTACCAAAAGCTATGATTTGCCAAGAAAACTCTATTTCTAGAATTATATACTTATGAGCATATATGTTTTGATAAATGTTAAACTAAATTTTGAGAATATGTACATATATAATTATGTATGAGGCATAAATGTATATATTTGATCATGTAGATACTTGAAGCTTATTCTATCTTTTCCCTAAAATTACTTAGCTATTAATATCGTATATTTTGGAAAATACTATGTATCCATAGAAAGATTTTATTAAGAACTTTTGATCTATAAAGTGTATAACCCCATGATCCGTGAGTTCCTCCTGTGTTGTGGCCGGCCCTTGTGACTCAGCTACGTGTCGTTTCGGACCGGGTGTCACGGGCCCTTGGGGCCGTCATGACGCACGTTTTGGTTTTGATTTCGTTGAATTTGGATTAAATTTGAGCATGTTATGATAGAAATTGTATTGAAATTGTTTACAGTAATGTGCAAGTGAGTTGTGTCAGACTTATACTGCCTATTTGATCTTCCTGATGTTATTTGAGTGTTAAATAGAGAAGCTTGATCATTAAGTGATTAAGTTTGTTAGAAAAGCATGATTCAAGTGCGTTTTATGTCTCAAAGAGATTATAGTCTGTAAATTGTGGAAGTATGCAAAGTATGTTGTTTTGCAACCCAAGTATGAATGTGTGATCATTGAGAGTTCACATGATATATAGAATTGAAGCATGTTGTACAGTAAATTGCATTACAAGTAAATCATGTTTTAAAAGTGCATAAGTGGCCAACGTGAGCCTAAGTATTATTTTCCAAAAGTCTCATTTCACGTAGAGCATCTTTATCTTGTCTTTGAGAATGAATTGAGAAGTATGTGCATGTATTTTCATAAGTTAAGTGTTGCATATAAGTTAACTTTTCTTTATCAGTTTTTTAAGGGAGATTAAGGGAGTGTTTGAGTTGGTGGAAATTATTTAAAAAAAAAATACTTACTAATAAAAAATAATTTTAAAATATTTTTTTAACGCCTCATAACATGTGTAAATACAATTTGATAAATATCACAAATTAATTAGTACAATATTATTTCTGTTTATAAATTATAATAATTAAAAACAAATTGAAATATGTGAACCAATGATTTCAAAATGAAATTAATATACAGTTACAAATAAATATAGCATGATTAGATCTACTTTAATTAGTTTTAATTTCCTTAATGAAATGCCTTTTCTTTATCAATTTTTTATGGGAGGCTAAGGAAGTGTTTGGATTAGTGCAAAATATTTTAAAATAAAATGCATACTAATAAAAATAATTTAAAATATTTTTTAACCCTCATAACATGTGTAAATGTTATATTAAAAAAAAAATACACTTTGATAAATATCATAATTTTTGTTTATAATAGTTAAAGAAAAAAAATAAATAATTCAAATATGTGAACCAATTATTTCAAAATAAAATTAATATAGAGTTACAAATAAATATAGCATGATTAGATTTATTTTAATTAGTTTTAATTTTTTTAAGAAATGACTTTTCTTTATCCGTTTTTTATGGGAGGCTAAGGAAGTATTTGGATTGCTGGAAAATATTTCAAAATAAAAACGCATACTAATAAAAAATAATTTAAAATATTTTTTAATCCCTCATAACATGTGTAAATGTTATATTTTTTTTTTAAAATACAATTTGATAAATATCATAATTTTTTTTTTATAATAGTTGAAGAAAAAAATAAATAATTCAAAGATGTGAACCACTGATTTCAAAATGAAATTAATATACAGTTACAAATAAATATAGCATGATTAGATTTACTTTAATTAGTTTCAATTTTCTTAATGATTTTTCATTTTTTTTATTATAGACTAATGGAGTGTTTGGGTTGCTGAAAAATATTTTAAAAATAAAATTACTTACTAATAAAAAATAATTCTAAAATATTTTTTAATCCCTAAACATGAGAAAATTTTATATTTAAAAAATACAATTTGATAAATATCATAAATTAATTATTGCATTATCATTTATGTTTACAACGAGAATAATTAAAGAAAAAAATAAATAAATCAAGTATGTGAACCAATGATCATAAATAAATTAATTATTGCAATATCATTTATGCTTTGACCCGGAGATTTAAAGTTGCTCACCTTTGGTTAATAAGGATGGATGAGTTCCTTCCACTCAACCACAAGCTCCAGGTTCTTAGTGAAATGACTTTAATAAAAGTAAAATCCTCATTTACAACATTTCAGCCCAAATTAACATGAATATTAATTAAGTAGTAAAAAAATAATAAAGCTTAATTGGTAACAAAATTTTATATGAAAATTAACTAATATCTAATGAATTGTTATCACAAATTAAAGTCAATATGTACATAAAAATAGAAAATGGTTACCAAATTCTGAGAATAATCAAATTATTATAATTGTGAAAATAATGGATACAAATTCTGCGTAACAAATGAGAAAATTCGTTAGAAATTTTGCGTAATTTTATAAAGAAATAATAATTTATTAATTTTTATTTACTTTATACTATTAATAAAAGTAAAATTATCATCTTCAACATTCCCGTCCAAATTAATATGAATATTAATTAATTGATAAAAAAAATTTAATAAAGTTTAATTGGTAACAAAATTTTATATGAAAATTGACCAATATCTAATGAATTTTTATCACAAATTAAAGTCAACTTAAAAATAAAAAATGATTATCAAATTCTGAGAATAATTAAACCATTATAATTGTAAGAATAACGGAAACAAATTCTGCGTAATAAATGAGAAAATCCATTTGAAATTTTATGTAATTTTATAAGGAAATAATAATTTATTAATTATTATTGACACCAATCTATATTTATACTATTAATAAAAGTAAAATCTTCAATTAAAATGTCTTTCACCCTTCTGATACGAGATTGTCCTTCAAGTTCTAACGAAAACAACTCATGTTTGATGCTCGCATATGCCACGACTATCAACAAAAGTCAGGGTCAAACACTAACTCACGTTGAGTTATTACTGAAAAAACCAGTCTTTAATCACGGTTAATTGTATGTGACTTTTTCCCGAGTCACCCATCCTGATGGTTTGGTGATTTTAACTCTAGACGAGGATGGATAAAATTGTGTTACTACTACCAATGTTCTCTACAAAGAGATTTTCAATAATGTATAATTCAAGCCATTGATATTATGGTTTATATATATAAAGATGACAAAATTGTTATATATCTACATAGAAAATATATCTTTCGTATAAATAATTTCTTTAACTGAATTGCTAGATAACGAGTTAATTAGCCCAATTAATACAAGTTCTAAACACTGATATATAAAATCTCTAAAGTTGCAGCGCCGAATGCGTATATCTACACGTTATCTATTAATTGGACAATTATTTACTCAAATTCAAGCATTGATAACATCATAAAACATAATCGGTGCAACTCAATTCTTCAATTATATTATATAATATTTGATGTTATAATTTATACAATTGTATATCGATCTAAATATTTATAAAATATTATAACAAATTCATTCCGTGCAACGCACGGGCGCAAATACTATTAAATCAAAATGAGAATTAAAAAATAGTAAAAAATTGAGGGAAAGGGTAAGATTATATACGGAAGGAAAAAAAAAAGTATTTGATTGGATTATAAAAAGGCTAGTGTAGTCCGACTTAAGTGGGACACAACATACAAATCTTTTCAAAATCTACCCATCTAATAAGAGTTAATAATGTTGACTCTTAACTCGAACAAAAAAAAAAAAATAGTGGTGTAATTGTTTCTTAAAATGAATGGTTCATATTATTTTAATTTTAGTATTTTATCCATGATTTTCATTATTTACCCTCTATTATATTATTGTCTTTCCTTAAATAACTGATACGACACTACCACATCCAGAGGACATGGGAAAAGAGGCCATGCATCCAGACCACATGGGAAAAGAGGCCATGCAGGCAAGAACAGATCATAGAAGAATTGGTATTGACAGGCCGAGAAGAATGCGCAAGTTACTGAGTCGCTATGCGGATTATAGGATGGACTAAGCATCATTAGTGATCCTATAAATAAGCTTAGTTTGTTATTTCCTTTTTCTTATTTAAAGCTATGTAATATTCAGTACTAGCAGACAAGAATTACAGTACTCATCTTTCTTCTTAATTTTCCTAGAGCTTTGTTCTTTGCTCGAAAAAGAACTCTCGATACATTCGCAGGCGAACGTATCAATTTGGTGCTCTCGTTGAGAGACAATCAAAACAAAAAAAAAAAAAAAAACAAACAAAAAAACAACAAAAAAAAAACCCACAGCAGCAAGCTACCATCCATGGCCGATTCTCCCGATACACCATTAACCATGCAGAACCTTAAGCAACTGCTAGACGGAGTAATGACCACCCAAGAGGCCTGGCTGCAAAGTTAGTGGAAAGACCAATTCCAAACTTTCATGGCTTCCATGGAAGCAAAATGGCAAACCAATGAGAAGGCTAAGACGATACAACAGTCAGAGATGGCAACCACAACACCCCCCACCAATCAGCAAGCTCTATTCCAAGCTAATCCTGGCCTCACCATAGCTACGGATGAAGGTTAATCTGAAGGAGCACCCATGGTGCAGAAACACAGTAGTATGAGATTAGACATTCCAAAATTTGGAGGAGCAGATCCGCAGCAATGGATTTTCAACATCCAAGAATATTTTGACTTCCAACAAACCCCCGAACCGCAACGCTTGCAAACTACTGGTTTTTGCTTGGAGGGAGACGCGTCTGAATGGTTCCGTTTGATGAAACGGAACCGCCTAATTTTTGGGTGGCATGATTTCTTGGAAAAGGTTGAACAACGGTTTGGCACTACACACTTTGAGGATCCCTTGGCGGAGTTGGCTAAGCTTACACAAGTCGGGACCGTAGCTGACTTCCAAGCAGCATTTGAGAAATTGCTTAATCGGGTGACCGGAGTAAACGAGACTCAGCTATTTTCCTATGTCATAGGTGGGTTGAAATCCCACATACGCCGTGAATTGCTTATGGTCAGGCCCCGAACGATTTTGGCAGCCTTTGAGATGGCCAAAGCTCATGAAGCTCGTTATAATGAGCTTATGCTAGAGTGTCGTACTGCATACAACGAAAAACCACGTCCTCTGGTGATACATGAAGACAATAGGTGGCAGCCTAGAAGTTCAAATTTTTCACAGCTTTCGATACGGTCGAGTCCTAATTTACAGCCCAATATCTTACCTTCAGGGAAAACTAATGCCAGAGGATTATTGCCAGCACCAATGGCGCATCCCACCCAAGCACTGCCCATACTGAGATACACCTCCGCTGAAATACGTGAAAAGCGTGACAAGGGCCTGTGTTTTCGTTGTGACGAGAAATACACCCCGGGTCACCGTTGCAAGGGGCGGTTCCTCGTGCTTATTGGCGATGAGGATGACGAGCCGTTAGAAGATGAACCTATGGTAGTCAATCAATATCATACTGACGAGGAAGTAATATCTGGTGATGTCTCTGTGCTTAATACAATGACAGGACCTGGCAGCCCCCGGTCCCTACGACTCATCGGCAACATAAAAGGATCCTCATGCATGGTGCTGATTGATAGCAGAAGCACCCACAATTTTATAACTTCGGCTATCGCAGAGAGATTACACCTGCCCACCAAAGCTATCAAGCCATTCCAGGTCTATATTGAGAACGGCGATACATTGGGGTGCCAGCATGTTTGTTCGGCTGTGGAGGTTTGCATGCAGGGGGTTACTTTTGCTATGGATTTACATGTGTTAATAATCGTTGGCCCGGACGTAGTCTTAGGCGTCCAGTGGCTCCAGAGCTTAGGCAGTGTTACACATGATTATTCTAAAATGACTATGGAGTTCCAGATGGGCTCAACAAATGTCAAACTTAAAGGTGACTCTGGCCTACATAATCAACCTATTTCCTTCAACCAGTTACAGGCAATGGTGACCAATGGTGCCATACAGACACTTCATGAGATTCACCACATCAATACTACCGACGTTGCAGAGCCTACTCAAATGCAACCCACTCCTCCAACCTTACCAGAACCTTTTCGGGACTTACTACTCGAATTTTCACTAATTTTTGAGCAACCTAAATCCTTACCTCCTCATAGAGTCTTTGATCACAATATTCATTTATTACCTAATTCTAAACCCGTAAATGTGCGCCCATACCATTACCCTTATTTTCAAAAATCTGAAATTGAGAAGTTAGTTCGGGAAATGTTGGAGCAGGGAATCGTACGTCCAAGCCGGAGTCCTTTTTCTTCACCTATTTTGTTAGTCCAAAAAGAAGATGGCACTTACCGATTTTGTGTGGATTACCGAACACTAAACGCCATTACATTCCGGGAAAAATTTCCGATCTCGACTGCTGATGAGTTATTTGATGAATTGGGAGGTGCAACCATTTTTTCTAAGTTGGATTTGCGAGCAGGATATCGTCAAATCCGTGTTGCAGATGAGGATATCTTTAAAACTGCTTTTCGGACCCATGAAGGGCATTACGAATTTTTGGTTATGTCATTCGGGCTAACAAATGCGCCCTCCACCTTTCAAGCTGCCATGAATACGATCTTAAGGCCATTTTTGCAAAGATATGTGATCGTTTTCTTTGACGACATATTGATCTACAGCTCCTCTATGGAGGAGCATTTAAAGCATGTGCGCGAGGTATTGCTCATCCTACAAACTAATCACTTCTATTTGAAATTCAATAAATGTGATTTTGGACGTCTCTCCATTGAATATCTTGGGCATATCGTCCATAATGGGCAGCTTGAAATGGATCCCAAAAAAATTGATGCGGTTCTCACTTGGCCTCTATCCATGAACACTAAGCAATTACGAGGCTTCCTGGGATTGGCGGGATACTACCGTCGATTTATTAAAGGATTTGCAGAAATAGCAGCACCTCTTACTGATTTTTAAAAAACAACGCTCCTAAATGGGGGGCCCGAGACTGATCGTGCTTTACATAGGCTGAAGGAAGCATTGGCTTCAGCCCATGTTCTTCGCTTACCGAATTTTTCGGAACCCTTTGAGGTTGAAGTTGATGCGTCAGGCACTGGGGTAGGAGCAGTTCTCATGCAACAGGGCCACCCAATTTCTTATTTCAGCAAGAAAATGGAAGGCAAATGGAGAACGACTTCCACATATTTGAAGGAATTACAGGCGCTAACGACTGCCGTCCAGAAATGGAGTCATTACTTGCTAGGGAGTTCCTTTACTATTAAAACAGATCATTTCAGCCTCAAAGAGCTTCTTTCCTAGACGATCCACACTCCAGAGCAGCAAAAATTTATTCACAAGCTAATGGGTTATGATTTTTCGTATTGAATATAAGCCAGGCAAGGCGAACGTTGCAGCAGATGCGTTATCACAACGGCATGAGGTCGCATGTACTATATTGGCGACGAGTTGGCCTGTGCCAGAGTTCTTGAATATTCTATGTCGTGAAAACTTGGAGTTGCAAGATTTACAGGTCCTTCACCAGTGCATGGAGGCAAATAAATTGCCAGTGGAATTCTCACGGCGGAACGGTATATTACTCTACCGGCAACGCTATTATATCAGCACATCCTCCTCTTTAAAAATAATGTTGCTTAGAGAGTTCCATGAGACTAAGATGGCGGGGCATTCTGGTGTGAAACAGACGTTAGTGCGGTTGTCCGCATTATTCTTTTGGCAAAACATGCGACGCGACGCTGAAAATTTTGTTGCCTCTTGTTCCACGTGTCAACAAACCAAATTTTTGACTAGCACTCCCGCAGGGTTACTACAGCCGCTTCCTATTCCTGATGCTGCTTGGGATAAGCTCACTATGGATTTTATTGTTGGACTACCACCCTCGCAAGGTTATACTGTTATTATGGTGGTGGTTGACCGGCTAACGAAGTATGCCCATTTTGGGGTTTTACCTTCCCATTTTACAGCCAGGAAAGCTGCACATTTGTTTGTTGATTTTTTCGTTGTCAAACACCATGGCTTCCCGACCTCAATTATTTCAGATCGTGATCCAGTTTTCACTAGTGCATTTTGGAAGTCTCTATTTGAATTTAGTGGCACGGGTCTCCGGCATAGTACTGCGTATCATCCTCAAACATATGGCCAAACAGAGGTAGTGAATCGGGGCATCGAATAGTATCTCCGTGCGTTTGTGAGTGATAGGCCGACAACATGGGTTTCGTTGATGAGTTGGTCTGAATTCTGTTAACACCAGCTACAACCAAAGCATTATAATGTGTCCATTTCAGGCCCTATATGGTCGACTGCCACCAGTTATTCCACATTATGTTCCAAATGCTACTACTATATGTGTTTTGGATGACCTTTTGAAGGATCGTAATGTGCTCCTATCACAGGATTCACAGCTCAAAGAAAATTTATCTGCCGCTCAACATTGAATGGTGCAAATGGCTAATCGTAAACGACGTGATGTCAAATACGACGTTGGAGCTAATGTTTGGGTGAAACTCCAACCTTTTCGTCAAGTCTCGGTGGTGCGCCATCCGTTTCGCAAACTAAGCGCACGATACTTTGGGCCATTTGAAATTGTGGAACGTGTTGGCCCTGTCGCATATCGTCTACAACTTCCGGCCACGTCCAAAATTCACCCCGTCTTTCATGTTTTCCTGCTCAAACCGTACCGGGGCGATGCAAGTGAATCACCACAACCTACTCTTCCATTGGATTTCATGGGGCATTTGTCGTCTGCTCCAATGACCGTTCTGGCCACTCGTTCTATTTTGCATGAAGGGTTGTTAGAGCGGCAGGCTCTTGTTCATTGGGTTGATTTACCACCAGAGGATGCTATTTGGGTTCCTGTGGATACACTTGCTGAATTTTTTCCGAGCCTTCACCTTGAGGACAAGGTGTTTTCTGAAACGGGGGGTACTGATATGACACTACCACATCCAGAGGACATGGGAAAAGAGGCCATGCATCCAGACCACATGGGAAAAGAGGCCATGCAAGCAAGAACAGATCATAGAGGAATTGGTATTGACAGGCCGAGAAGAATGCGCAAGTTACCGAGTCGCTATGCGGATTATAGGATGGACTAAGCATCACTAGTGATCCTAAAAATAAGCTTAGTTTGTTATTTCCTTTTTCTTATTTAAAGCTATGTATTATTCAGTACTAGCAGACAAGAATTACAGTACTCATCTTTCTTCTTAATCTTCCTGGAGCTTTGTTCTTTGCTCGAAAAAGAAGTCTCGATACATTCGCAGGAGAACGTATCAATAACCCTAGATTTCGATAGTATAAACTTTAGTAACGGAATATTCCGTTAACTATTTATTATTCTTAACTTACTCATTAGTTTCTATAAGAAATGTCTTAGGTCCGAACTCCATCCCAATCAAAATTGGCATAATTGTTAAACATATACTACGAATTTGTTAAAATATACAGAGTATTAAAAAAATAAATACAATATAAAATTTAACATAAACTTTGGTCGAATAATTAGCCCGATTAAATACAAAGCATTCAAAGTTGAGCGTCAATGATTAAAAATCATGAATTTTGAAAATCATTTTCTTGCATTTAAAAAAAAAATTAGGTTAAGGTTTTTTTTTTCTTTTAATTAATACTATTTTGATTATTTAGAACAAAACCCAATATTTCAATTATGTTTTGACATTATTGGAATGATTTAGTCCATTATGATATTAATATTTTTTGTATGTATTTTTATAACGGTACAATTGTAAACTACATTACAAATATTATACTATTATTTTTTTTATCGGACAAAATTGTCTTACATCATTGTCAGGTCTGCGCAACCTAATTACAAAGTTGCTGATCAGATATACAATTACACCTGGACTCTAATACGATAAGACCATTTTCTAAAGAATTGACAATGTTTCATCACACTGGCTCAAATTGAACAAGTTTAGACATCATTCTCAGAATTAAATCAATGTATGGAAACTTCTAAAGAAATTTGTAAGTTAATTTTTACTATATCATTATAACAATATCTATTGTAAACATATATTTCAAATTATTTATAATCATCCTCTATTGACAATTGTCATTGAGAAACTCCCAAAATAATTTGTCTCAACAACGGGAAATTAAAAAAATCAATGACTTCAATGTTGTGGATGAAAAGTATGTACGCCACTTTAATTTAATACTCTTATTAAATTAAATAAATTAGTAGCTACAACAAAAAATAGTACATATGCATTTAATTAATTTAGAATTAGATGTCTATAATGTTTTTATTCAAAAAATAATAAATTTTATTCATTATAAAAAATTAAAAAGAGGGTATAATTTTATTAGTTATGTTATCTTTATTTTCTACCATTCAAATATTCCTTACCCTCAAATTCATTAATTAATTATATTCACTACATTGTCCATTGTCTTCTTTTATATTATATTGCAATTAAATATCAAAGAATATGTTACGTAGTACTTATATATTTATTTACCAAGTATTTTATAGAAATATAATAAATATTAATATTTTGTTCAAAACTTTCACAGGATAATCTATGATACACATCTCGCAACACATGAAACATGTAGGGGAAAAACTATCACTATTAAATATCAATATGCGCTTGTAAGATAAAGAGTTCATAGTACAACTAAGATCTCAGTCATATACACAACAATACCAATTTAAAACTTCCTACATCGTAATCTCATTGCATGATGATGCCCTCTATGCTATGTTGAAATTTTTAGCATAAAATGACATTTTGAGTGATTATTTTGTGGTACAAATATATGTGGGGTCCACTTCCGGTTTGGGTCGGGTCGAAGTGGATTCGGGTTCTTCGTAGAATTTAATATAATGTACGCTCAAAATGGATAATAGGTGAATGAGAAATTGATTCTCAAAGTGGACCTATTTGAGAAAAGTCAAAATTCTTAAGCTAGTTGCTAATTAAAATTAGCAAAATGGTTTTAAGCTTTCGTTGCGTTACAAAACGAGTGTGTGTGTTACTAATTGTCTATGTGTCTTACTAAAAACTATATATGCGTTTTAAAACGAGTGTGTGTGTTACTAATTGACCATGTGCTTTTCAAAACGAGTGTGTGTGTTACTAATTGACTATGTGCTTTACAAAACGAGTGTGTGTGTTACTAATTGACTATGTGTTTTTCAAAACGAGTGTGTGCGTTACTAATTGTCTATGTGCCTAACTAAAAACTATATATGCGTTTTGAAACGAGTGTGTGCGTTACTAATTGACTATATGCCGTACTAAAACACTATGTGTTTTTCAAAACGAGTGTGTGCATTACTAATTGTCTATGTGCCTTACTAAAAACTATATATGGGTTTTAAAATGAGTGTGCGTTACTAATTGACTACGTGACTTACTAAAAAACTATGTGCTTTTCAAAATGAGTATGTGCATTACTAATTGACTATATGCCTTACTAAAAAACTGTGTGCATTACTAATTAATTTGAAATTTTGAATTTCTAACAAAAATTTGTGAAAAACGATGAACAACATTAAATGCTCAATCGTAAGATAAAAATTTCTAGAAGACAAAATTTTAAGACCATGTACTAGGTGCATTACTCAAATAAGTTAAAAGGTTTGATTTTCTTAATCAAGCTTTCTAAATTATATTAAACTTTCAACAACATTGAAGACTCAATTATAGGATAAATATTTCTAGACTAGAAAATTAAACTCCTATGTGTATTACTAAATGACTATGGTGGCTACTAATTAAATTAATTGATGAAAAAGTAATATTTCATTAAGTAATCCATTAATTATTATTGAAAATTTTAATAACTAATACGTTTTGTATTTGTACTTGTATAAAATCTAGTTAAAATTAAAATATTGTATCGAATCTTTATTTATTTTTAAAATGGGCCTATAAAAAACGGAAAAAAATGTTAAGGAACTGTTAGGTGGCATGGAGAGCACTCTC